GTGATATCCTCCCTTCAGGCTTTCAATTAAAATTCTGCATGCATTTCTCAAGTCTCGCATGCGTGTTACATGCCCCAACCGTCTCAACCCCCTTACATAGTTTAACATGCATACAAAGCAGGCAAAGACATATTTTATATTTTAATTTTTACGTTTCTACGTAACAGACGGAAAATGTCAGAGAGAAAAATACTGTTTCCATGCGTTCAAAGTAACGCAAGAATCGAGTTGCTTTCAAGTCAGGTAAATACTGAAGTGACTTCTAATTCATCTGAAGCTTGAAATAGTCTTTTCCAGCAAATCTGAAACACTATACCACTCAATTCCTTTCATGTTTCTGTCTCCAATGCAATTGAATTCAGGCCACTTCAACTAGTATAAATCTGATGTAATTAAAAAGACAGAGAAAGACGTATCAGTCTCGGATGAAGAAGAATGAAATTTGAGCAAACCGAGAGAAGGGGAACTGGAAGAATGGGGCTTCCAACTCCTTTCAGGTCACGTAAGCAAGTGCGCGGCTGTATAGTAAAAAGGGAAAGGGAAGAATCTCAAGTCAACAAACATTTCAGTTTTGCTCTACAGCCGTAATGTATGCTCGCAACTCATTTAGACCAAATATGAAGACAACAGCAAGAGACACGCCTGTGGCCTGCTAAGCAATGGCAAAACTTACTCGCGTCTCTTGGAATTACAATACGATACCTGAATAACTGATTTTACGAAGTACAGTATCTCAAAATGTGATTTTGGAAAGTGACCCCGGATAACTGTTGGGTGCATACGTGGAGTGTTCATTCGTTCTTTATATGGTGTGCATAAACTGAATGCATAATGGAAACATCACGTCTGTCCGTTCATCACACCACTGGGCGAAGCTAACGAATGACCCTTGGCTCTATCAATGAAGCAAGCAGTCATGCAAATTATAAGCTCGATTTCCTTGTGATTACTCAGTTCCGAGAGTATGAGCAGAGACCGAGGAAGTGAAGGAGATTTTAGTCTTGAACGACTGCTGACAACAGCGTAAAACTTGAGACAACTCGTGTTCCATTACATCATGGAATGTACATTCGTCTACAAGACCAACATATACAGGTTGTCCCAGGAGGAATGTGCCAGACTTCGGGAGGGTGTTCCTTATGTTAAAGTATGCCGATATAACCCAAAACACCTATGTCCAAAGTTGAACGGTTACGGAGATAATGGCCAGAGAAGTGTGAAAATTTGACCGGTGTTACACACTTGTTGATTATAAAATACATATTAAAACAGGCAGGAATATGTGGTTTCTGTAATGTTAATAATGTACGTAACATCAAACTAACTTGTGAGTAACATGAAGCCATTAAATTGAACTACAAAAAACTCGCACGCCATGTCAAAGTTGTCGCTAAGAGTTCCAAGCACTATACATGACACATGACTGGCAAGCGCTGACGTAACATTGATGACTGCGCGTTCTGGTATGCGAGTGTATGGGGCTAACGTGAGCTGCCATCACCACACTCAAGGGCAAACGTAGATAAGACATGCCAGCTGACAGGTACCGTGCGTGGACTCGCCAGAAGACCACACTTTTCTCGGGCCATTATCTTCGTAACCGTTCAACTTTGGACATAGGTGTTTTGGGTTATATCGGCATACTATAACATAAGGAACACCTTCCCGAAGTTTGGCACATTCCTCCTGGGACACCCTGTATTTACATAAACTACTCCAATGTAAGATACAACGTAAGATTTAACGGAGATCGTAGGTAGGCCTACAAACAAACAAAACAAACTCCGTGGTCTGTAGTCCGCAAGCGAACTAGACCGCCTCTGTGGTCTAATGGTGGGAGTTCCTGCCTACAGATCCAGAGGTCCCGGTTCGATTACCGGCGCTACCACATTTTCTGAGAGGTAGTGGGTCTGGAACGAGGTCCACTCAGCCTCGTGAGGATAACTGAGGAGCTATTTCAAGGAAATAGAGGTTCCGGTCTAGAAAATCGAGATTATCGGCCGTGGGGATCAGTTGAGCTGACCACACGATACCCTCTATCCGCTAAAGTTGGCACTAACTTCGCCGACAAGTGGCGGTCGCTAGGTCGGTCGGTCGGTCGGTCGGTCGGTCGGAGGGTCCGCCTACTGAGCAGAAAGAATAATATGGATTTTCGCACAAAAATGTTCTCTTCATATGCTTCTTACTTAAAATACATATGCGTGGTCATATAAGGCTCGCGTACACGACGTCAGCAGAGAAAGAAAGGCGTACTTAGTATAAGAGCTGGGATAGCTCAGTCGATATAGCGTCGAGCCAGAGGCTGGACCGCAGGTCTTCAATTCCTGGGAGGGGGCAAGACTTTTCTCTTTTTCATAGTGTCCAGACCGGCTCTGGGGCCCCTATCCAGTTGGTACTGGGGACTCTTCCCCCGGGGTAAAGAGGCTGGAGCGTGATGATTAAGAACGGTGGAGCTATGCCTCCACTCCTCAATATGTCTTCATGGCGTAGTGTTTACGTAATTACGCTCAGGGACAAATTTACCTTTTGTTTAGTACAAGATGTATCATTCGGAGGTGGTTCAGAATAAATAATTATAAATCCGTAATAATTTGTCGATAAAAATAAAATTTGACAGCAGAGAATACTTCGCAACACGGACCTGATGCCTACCTACCAGTGCACCCGGTTCCCGCCATTTTTTAAGTGTGTGATTCCACGTGATATGTGGCGGAATGATCTGTGCGACCGAACAGCTTTTTTTTTTTCCTCCCGCGCGATTTTACTGGCTCACTGGATCGCTGAAACAACGTCAGGCAGTTCTCAGAAACCGTTTCAGTACTGTAGCACAAGAAAGAGCGTTATCCAGAAGATGGTCCGAAAGCTGAGGCTAAAGGGACCTTGCAGGGAGGTCGGCTTGCGAAGGGCGGAAAATCGGCACATGTTGTGCGACGGCGGTTCCTGGCTTTGCCTCAGTCACTCGTCGCGCAGACTGTCGCGAAAACCTTTGCTTGTCATGGCCATCGTGTCAAACAGCGGCAAAAAAAGGAAGGATTCGCCGGTACCATGTTACTGTTTTCCAGGCGCTTCAGCATCGTGATATGCAGAAAATAGCGGCTACTGCCAGTGACTTCAAATATTAGTTGCCAAAAAACCCCAACGTCTTGGTATGACATGGTTTTGTATAGAGAAAAACCTTGATTTCTCTTGCCAGGATATGTCAACTTGTTCCACTCGAGAGGAGTCCCACCATCCACAAAAGGTGTGCTCTGCCATTTATCCACATAATTGGCTCAATAGTCTTCCAAACGACCATCAACACTGATGTCTACTTGGGCATTTTCCAAGCGTTATGAATCAATTGGAAGACCGGTAGATGGCACTCGATTACTTTCCATACGATGAGATGTGTCAGACATCTGAAGTGGCTTTGAAAGAAATTAAAAGTTTTTTTGTGGATGGAATTACCTCGAAAGAGCTTCGGCAGCTCCGGTTTCCAGATATGCCTCCGCCGGTCTTTTTTTTTTTTTGTAGCTGTCTACTGGAGGCCATGATGCCTAAAAACAAACCTACCATCATTGACAACCTCAAAAGTAAAATAACCAACGAAACTGCTGCAACATTCGCGGACGTGAAGTGTTCTGACGATCTTTATCGTCAGGCGAACGGAAACCAATTTCAACATCTTCTGTAACCCAATTATGCCCACATGTACTAGGGTATGTACTCCTGAAGTTTCGTTTTCATTGGTGTGTTACTGCGCGTTTTATAATTATCAATTCGAAGCCTACTACGAGTTAATCACTTTGTATAAGCATACTTGATACGGTTCGAGAGACCGAACCTTTCTTGTTTCAAACCTTTCCACAAGTTACAAAGCTCTGGAATTATTTGGCTGGATATGACAGAACTTGGAAGAAGAGAGAAACATATCTTTTTGCACAACAAAAAATAATACTAATTCATTATTATTATTATTAATAATTTGTATATCGCATCGTCGACTTCGTGCCCAGTTTTACTACGCAACATCTCTAGTTAAACTGTATTCCTTATCATCAGTGAATGAGCGATACTTCAATCGGTATAGCAACGGGCTACGCGCTGGACGGCCGGGGTTCCATTTCCTGCAAGGGCAAGAGATTTTTTCCACAGCTTCCTGACTGACTCTGGGACCCACCCAGCCTCCTAACTTATGGGCACCTAGAGCTCTTTCGCCGAGGGTAAAGTGCCTGGGACATGAAACTGACCACTCAACACCATATAGTGCCGAAGTCAGTGGTGTAGCTATACCTCTACTTCCCCATACCTTGCCGGCGTAAGAGCGTTAGTTTACAACACATGTTTACGACAATTGCAGCTGTATAGCTGAGATCAGCACTGAATGAACAATACACAACACACAGCAAAAGCTTACATAACAACTGAATAATGCGAACGCATTACAATAAGCAACTTGAACATAATTACCGACATTTCAATAAAAGCTGAGATTGTCTCCACACAACAAAAGTATCATGTGAGACTCCTTTGGTATTTTAATAAATATGCAATGGGATGCCAGTCTGAGAGCAGTCAATGGCACGAGATAAAGAGCAGGCAGTGTGAATAACCAAAGTATATCCAGAATAGAGATCGCTTCCGAAATATCATCGGGAAAGGCAAGGTAAAACGCTCTTCGTACTTAATCATGTAATCAAGCACTGTACCATGAAGGCGTATGGAAGAATGGAGGTATAACTCCGCCATTTTTGACCTCGGCACTATGTGAATGCGAGTGGTTAGCAGCACGCCTCTGCCTCTTTACCCCCGGGGAAAGACCCCCTGCTACGCTTTGAATAGGCGGCTGGGTTGATCCCAAAGCCCTAGACACTCTGGAGAAGACGAAAATAACATGCCCCTGCCGAGATTCGAACAGCGGTCGTCCAGCCCGTAGCTTAGTCGCTATACCGACTGAGCTGACCCGGTGGTACTAAACAAAATATTTTGTTGCCATTAATGGTTCTGAAAATTACACTTACCTCGTCATGTTTCGGATGAATGTGGCTGCAGTGCCTATGAACAAACATTCCATTCACAGAAATCACATATAGCACCAAGAAGAAACACCAGTTCTTCCACTTCACTTTCGCTGCCATGTTTGATTACGGAACTACATTGACGCACACACGCCGCTTCCGAGCAACCTAACCTCGATCCTCGGAGACCGACCGACTACTAACGAGTCGAACTAGTCCGAACTAGTCGAACTCCCACTCTCTTTCGCTTTTATCTGTGGCATGAATAGGAGCTGTCTCATGTTGGCTATTCTGTCCCGTTAGAGGCTCTTGCAGACTCTGAGTAGTGGTACTTCTGAACTTTGAGCGGGAAAACAGTGTCTCGATCGTTCCGATAAATCCATGGAAGTCCAAGCATAATAGGAGGAGGAAAAGAAATCTCTTCTTAGAAATGAAAAGGAAGCTGGTATATGAGACAGTAAATGAAGTGCCATGTAAGAGTGAAAATTCGTCCGTGCCTTATGTTGAAAATTATCAGATAGACTATGAACCTCTACATTTTTTAAGATGTCATTCAAGAAAAAATGACCCAGCAGATATTCAGACTCAGGTAAAAAACAGCAGTATGTGATAAACATTTTATAAAAGATATCATTTTGTACATTTACATTATATATATATATATCATAAAGTGGAGTATTAAAATAGTGGAATTCGCATGCAAAATATTGTACACTTAAGGACTGACATTGTAGTAGGCCTTCAGAAAGTATTCAAAACCAGCATGCCTCTTTACTGTCGATTATATTTCGATTTCAATACATTACTTAACTTCGGAAGTGTTATAATGAGACAAATATCTTTCTGAAATGAAACAAATAGGTAACTTTTCTCCTGAGAGAAGATGGAAAGCAGTGGGCTCCATATTGTAACTTGAAAAGCCAGCTATTCTCACGTAAATGCTCTACTTAATTAAGTAAGGAAAGACTTGGTGTCCAGTATGATGTATTAATATAACTCAGAAATTAAGAACAAGCTGAAAGCCAATAAATGCACTATAAATGTATTACTATCATAACACTGTGAAAATGGATTTTCTTACTTACTTACTTACTTAACATTTTTAACATTTTTTAACATTTATTCAGCATTCCATAAATCCTTACATGGTTTTTTCAAAACACCACGGATATAGAAGTAGTCAACATGAGTAAGCATAATTACATACTGCATCACATTTGTGCAATGTCATAACAGTAGCCATATATAAATATTTACAAAAACATGAATACATGAATACTCATGGAGCTGAGCCCTTCTGGAGGAGCCGCCAATTCTGCAGCTACTCAAGAATTTCCCAGCATTTTATGGAACCCGAAGGTTCATTACCGTGTTCACAAGAGCCCTCCACTGGTCCCTATCTTGAGCCAGATATATCCAATCCATACCATCCTATCCTGTCTCTCTAAGATCCATTCTAATATTGTCCACCCACCTACGCCTTGGTCTTCCTTCTGGCTTTCCCACCAATATCCTATATGCATTCCTCGTCTCTCCCATTCATGCTACAAGACCTGCCCACCTCATCCTCCTTGACTTGATCATTCTAAGTATACTTGGAGAAGAGTACAAGTTATGAAGCTCCTCATTATGCAGTTTTCTCCAACCTCCTGTAACTTTATCTCTCTTCGGTCCAAATATTCTCGTCAACACCCTGTTCTCAGACACCCTCAGTCTGTGTTCCTCCCTTAATGTCAGAGACTAAGTTTCACACACATACAGAACCACAGGCAAAATTATTGTTTTGTATATTCTAATTTTTATGTTTTTGGACAACAGACGAGAATACAAAAGGTTCTAGACTGAATGGTAGCAAGCATTACCTGAGTTCAGTCGCCTCTTAATTTCCTCCTGAATCAGGTTTCGATCTGTTATCGTTGTTCCCGAATATCTGAACTGTGCCACATTTTCTAAACACCTGTTTCCTATCTTTATGTCATGATTTTGCCCTGCATTCTGGTGACGAGACAGCAACATATACTTAGTTTTCTCTGTGTTTACTTCTAGAGCAACCTCTTTATTTGCATCAATTAAAGTCTGTATGTTTTTCTTTATGGTATCTACATTATCACCCAGTAGATTCACATCATTGGTGTAGACCAACAGCTGATGTGTTCCATTTAATTTCAGTCCCACCTGGTTTCCTTGGACCTTCCTAATTGCATATTTATTCATGCCCATTGGAACTGTGACATGTTTGCCGTTTGTGCATTACACTGTAAGCTTACCAACTTCCAGAATCTATTCTTTGTGCACCAAGTTTTGGTCTGTATGTGAATGGCCATAACAGCCTCACTTTGTTTCATCTCCCTTAGGTTTGGCAGTGTGCCTTTGAACCAAACAGAGATGACCAAAAGAAAACCACAAATGTAGTTGCAACATGTGGAGGAAATAGCATTTGTTTGATCAATGTAAAAACAGGAGAGGTGACAGGGAAATTTAGTTCAAAGGATTTAAGGTGTGTTATAAATTATGAATGTCTACATTTCAGAGTAAGTCAAAAGTAACATAATTGAATAAGGTCACAATCCATTTTGCAGTATGGCTAGATTCAGTCAACTTTGATCATCTGTCAGCTTATGGTACAACACTTTGCTAGCTGGCCTCCCGAGACAGTTCACCTTAACCAGAGATGATCCATTTATTCTGTGTAACTTTTTATCCTCTATGAATGCAGTAGACATTTCAAGACTGTAACTTGAAGAATACCAAGTATTTTCATTTCTTTCAAGGGAGATGTTCTACTCCATAGCCTGGACAACGCTGTTTGTTGAGCTGGCTGATCCCCCACAGATGAACATCCTAGCTGCTGCCGGAGCAAGAGGAACATTACATCTGATCCATCCTGAGGGTGGCGTGGCTTTTTTTGAGTGCCAAATTATCAGATCGAAGACAGTGACTGTAAGCAGTTTGCTGTTTCATCCTAAACAGTGCAGCATATTGTTCTGTAAGTCTTACTTCTTGGCCTTAAAGACGGCTATTTTTGTTACCAGCTCCGGCAGAGGTCAGGATAATGGTATAAATGTTTTACAACCTAGTTATGCATACATTTTACTGCATTATATCAAATAAAAGATATAGGGAAAGGTGCCCCACGGATTAAGCAGCATATGAAAGTGTATAGGGACCATGCAGATACAACTTCACAAATTCTTAATCCTTGTGTGATATGGAGGTAAGTTGGTCATTTTTGTGCTCAGGATGGGAAGATACCTCACTACCAGTTGAACCAGAATCTCGTGGCAAAGAGAAAAGTCCATGTTCTAGCTGGAATTGAACTCTGTACACATAGCCCTTAGCCACTTTACTGACTGAGCTATCCCAATTCAGACAATTACAAATTGTAGGAAATACTAAACTTAAATATGCATATAGCTGAATCCACAAATTAATTCAGAGATTGCTAACAGTGCTGGTATTATAAACCGACACTTATTTACATGTGTGAATTCATCTGTGAGACAGAAATTGCCTATACATATGACAGTCTGAATTTTAGCTTGGTTTTAGATCGCTGTATTGCATTATATGGGATAAGGGATCTATAACAGTAAAATGGAAATGATAGTAGAATAAGCAGTCATTGTCTTTGACAGCTCTGTCCCAGTGTTCTACTGGAGGAAATCTATTACATTCTGGACTGCTGATGCTTCAGCCAAGATATTGGCCTGTTACATCCAGAGTTTGTTTTACCACAGCTAACCTGTATAGTACAAGGGCTATTCAGAAAGTGACCTTCATTTATTTTAGGCAAATAATGTAGGAGCAGGGGAGAGCTTGTGGATGCGAAGTAGTGTCACATGACTCATTGCCTTGTAAACCATTCACATAACTGGTCACCTAGTGTTTGTGCACCTCTGCAGTGTTATGTGTCCTGCAACTGATAATCCCATCAGCCTTGAACTTTGCACTGTTATCTGCTTTCTTCATGTTAAAAACAGTGCTGTGGAAATCTATCATGAATTATGCATGGTTTACGGCCAAACTGTAATGAGTGAAGGAAGTGTAAAACAATGGTGTAGCATGTTCAAAAATGTGGGAACAAATAAATGTTCACGATGAAGAGCGCAGTGGTTGGTCATCTGTAGCAAGTGATGGATGCTACTGTTCAAAGTACAGATATTATGTTTCTGGACATTATGCATCATCTTGTTTTTATCTAAAACACCACAACAATATGTGTCCACATACGGCTGCTCGCCCTTGATCTCTGCTAGAGCATTTCAACTGGGAATTGTTTGACCACCCTCCTTACACCCCTGATCTTGCTCCGAGCAACTGCCACCTGTTTACCTACCTGAAGAACTGGTTGAGAACACACCATTTCAACAATAATGAGGAGTTGATGGAAGGTGTCAACATGTGGCTGAGCCCACAGGTATACAAAAACTTATTCCCTGATACGACAAGTACCTCAGTTCCACCGATGACTACAATGAGAAGTAGCTTATGTATGTGTACGTTTTTTTTTTCGTTGGGTGTTTTGTTAACAGCTCACTGGAGGTTACTTTCAAAATAGCTCTCGTACATGGGGGTGGCCACACTTTTAATCTTCATTCACTCATTCATCTGTAATATGTCAAGACGACAGGTCCACAGTCTCTTCCAAAACAGTTCCTCCACTTGATACGATCTAGAGCTCTCTCCTTCAAATGAAAATATCCTCTTCTGTCCCCAAGGTCATCCAGCATCTTCTTATGTCTTCTAGTCACTTCTATCCGCCCCTCTATCTTTCCTTCAATAACTTCTTTTAGAAGGCAGTTACCGCGTAAGATATGACCAATCCAATTAGCCTTCCGTTTTCTTATTTCGTGTAGGATATTCCTCTGCTCACTGACTCTAATTAACACTTCTTCATTTCTCACATAATCGGTCCAACTGATCTTCTCCATCCTTCTCCAACACCACATTTCGAAACTTTCCAGATGTTTCTGATCTACTGCCCTAAGTGTCCATGTTTCAGCCCCATACAGAGCTATGCTCCAAATGTAGCATTTCACTGTTTCTTTCTCAAATTTAAGTGCAATTTGCTGGTAAAAAGGTTCTTCTTCTTGCTAAATGCAGCTTTTGCCATGGCAATCCTAGATTTAATTTCACCTGTACACCTTCCATCATCTCTTAACAAGCTACCCAAATATAAAACATTTCACATTCTCCTGTTGTTTTTGGTGTATCTTTATTGTGACTGGGGTTGGTTGTCTCGAAATTTGTCTCTCTCTTCGTCTGATGCCTACCCTTTGACCTGTCCAGCAAGGGAGGCCCTGCCAGTAGCTACACTACCGCTGGTATAGCTCTCAGGGTCCTTGGCATACTCAAACCCCCTCACCAGGATAAGGTTGAACCACCAATGAGGGGGCTTTTAATCTTATATAATTACAATTCTCTGTTTATTTTGAACTAGATGTCTTCATATTTTCTTATTTGTGAGGTACCTGGTTTGGCTCTCAGATATGTCACTCACTAATGTCACACAGGTTTTCCATTAATTTCACGAGTCTCTCCAAATGAATTCTGGGATAGTACTTCCAGGTAAGCTATGACAGTCTTTTCATATCCTTACCTATTCCTCATTTATGAACCTCATTTGAAACCGTATCATTAAATAACCTATCAGTTAATCCAGGGCAAGTGTTTAGATACAAGTTATGTTCTGTGGTTGTGGCTTCAGGTGCTCTGAGTGATGGACAAGTGATGGGATGGGACATTGGTTCTCCCTCTCCTCCAGATTATAACATGAAGCTTAATTGTCTGCTGACATTAGAAGCAAGGTTGGAAATATTTAACCTTGTTTATTCACTGCAAGGGAATATTCTTATGGCAGCTTGTAGCATTGGTGTATGTGGATGGATTGTGACGCAGGAAGCATTACAGAAGAAGAGTGACAGGTAAGATAAACTGATACACTGTCTCCTTGATGTATATATTAACTCTTAAGATCACATGCAAATGCTCTACCTTAAAATTCTTTGCTGTCATCCCAAGCTTCCAGAATCCTAATCTCCAATTTAATTCTTATTTGTAAGTTTTGAGGTTTTCACGGCGATGACAATGAAGAAAGTCGTCTTCTGGGTTTAGGCACCGTGTATTCTTCGTTTTGGCCGACGTTTCGGAGGAACGTAGCGCCTCCATCTTCAGAGCAGTTGAATGGCTTGGAATGTGGAGAGCAGTAGCTGTGAGTGATAGGATGTGAAAGGTGCTGCTTATATACGAAGTAGGCAGGGGGGGTGGTTAGGGAGAACGGACCAATGGGAGCAGTGGGGAGTGATTAAGACCATATATGGTGTTGTGTCGATTAAGGGAGGGGGGAGAATCGCCCAGAGAATCCAGGAACCTTGAGGTCAATAGCACTAGGAAGTGCTGTAGACAAGAAGAACCGGTAGGTTGGGGACAGGCTATTGACGTCAATGACATGACGAAGNTACTTTGTATATAAGCAGCACCTTTCACATCCTATCACCACAGCTACTGCTCTCCGCATTCCAAGCCATTCAACTGCTCTGAAGATGGAGGCGCTACGTTCCTCCGAAACGTCGGCCAAAACGAAGAATACACGGTGCCTAAACCCAGAAGACGACTTTCTTAATTCTTATTTGTTCAGTATTGATATACTTGTAACCCTTAATGGATTCCTACAGTTTTGTCACTAATCTGCCTAGCCTTTGGCTGTTTCATGAGGTGAAGGGATCCATTTCTAAGGTTGGAGCAGAGTACCATGAAGCAAATTACACTGCTTTCTGTGCTATTAAACGAGGAAAAGGGGAACAGAGTGACTTCTGTACTTTTTGAGAATATTGAAAACATTGAAGTAATCTATACAATTGTAGATCTAGGATAAGTACTTATCAAGAATTGGATCATTGAAAATAAATACATTCTTTGGCATAGGTTAAATATCATTGATTCATGCTGTGTTATTATTTAATTTCATATTTATTCATAATGAAACTGACCATCTAACACTAAATCACTTCCCAGGTATACTTGGATTCTTAAAGAATCTTTAAGAATCCAAACATATCATGGAAGCAGTTCAGGTATTCATTAGATAATTTAATTCCATATAAATATTAAATTTAATATTAAAGAACTAAAGAGCTGTGATAGTGCAGTCAGTATAGTAACTGGGTACAGGCTGGACAGCTGAGAGGTCAGAGTTTCAGTACTGGTGGAGGCATGACTTTTCTCCTCTCCACATCCACACTTGTTCTGGGGCCCACCCCACCTCTTGTCCAATGGGTACTGAGGGCTCTCAACACTGGGATAAAGAGACCAGGGCATGAAGGTGACCACTCACCTTGAACTAAGTTAAAAAAGATAAAAGGTAAAGCCATCCTTGTAACAGGCCATGAAAGCCCATAGGGTTGTGAGATGTTGAGGCTCCCACATTTTCTCTAGACGGTCGGCTCACAAATGGCGGTAAAGTTGTCAGCCTTATGTGCTGGCCACCCTTTACCTCTCCAGGAACTCCTTGTACTCATTTCTGTTAAGAGGCTGAGTTGACCCCAGGGCCATATTGCAGCTGGAAGGATTAGGTAAATTGATAAAAATCCACCTCATTGGGACTTTAACCCACAACCTTCCAGCTTGTAGCATAGTGCCTCAACCAGCTATGCTACCATGTGCCCCCTCCTCCAACTGGTGCTGGGGTAAAGAATACATGGATCTATGCATCCCCTCCCCAAAATTTCTTCATGGTATAGTGCTTAATTAGTTGGGCACATGACATCTATACCTTTTATAAGTAAAAACTTATAAGTCCCACTAATGACACAAGGAAAACAAGATAAGTAATTTGAAATTAATGATAGTTCTAAAAACTAGTATTGTAAACATAAAACATAAAGTCAAACAGTATATTTATGTGATGTTGTTCTCCTGTAGTCTGCCAATACTGAAATTCCAATTTCCACGGAAACATATTCAGAACACAAGTGAACCCCAACTGGTTGATTCTCTGGTACTTCTGGGGGACGGTATGGTAGGTACCAAGTGCGCTCTTCATGGTGTCATATACGTGTGGGACCTGATGGCAACACTTGCTGCAAATGGAGAGGAGCAACAGCTCACAGTAACACCAATCCGTGTCTTGACCTGGAGTAATACTGATAATTACTTCATGAATATGGGGTGTCATCCAGGTGAGATCACTTCTAATTTATTGCTGCTGGTATTATCTTTGCAATTTGTAACACACACACACACACATGATAAAACTGGTTCACTTACAGGAGTGTTCATTAACTTATCTAGCCAAGCAAGAAATTCTGCCATGAAAAGGCAGCACATGATAAGGGTGGGATTAAATGCCCTGATATAGGCCATGATTCTAAGTCAGGTAGTTGAAGAGAAATGATCTCCACATAAGGCATTCTTTTTACTTTGTAAAAGACACCCATGTTGTCAGTGAACAAGTGTATAATAATATCGTGTGACTTCAGTCATGTGGTTATTTATGACTGTCAACATATTACAAAAATGTAATTAATTTTGGTATCTACATTTCCTCCATATCAAATTGTTTACAACTCCCCCCCCCCATGCAGGCAAATGCTAATAACATCTGCACTTGATATAGCATTGATAAATAATCACTGAACAAAATCAAAGAGAACAAATCATCTGTGTGAGAGCGAAACATAGTGACTCATAGGAGCCCTCCACTGGCACTCATATTTGCTAATATTTAGTGGCAGGCCTACTTGTTTGTGGAGATGACCGAGGAGCTCTGTGGCTGTATAACCTCAAGGAAGCAATGCAGGTGAAAGAACAGACACATGAAGTGCAGCCTTTGACTATTCTGGACTGGCCAGACATCACAGACATGAATCTTGACCGCAATCGGAAACTACGTCTTGATGTGTATGACATTGTTGTGGACAGTGTGGCAGTTAGCTGTACTGGGAAATATCTGGTGGCTGTCACCAGTAACAACATGGTCTGTATTTGGAAAAAAATGAAAAGTTGGAAGAAATAAAAGCATCTTGCAGAAAACCTGTGGTTATACCTTCTCTTTTGCATGCACATTTCACAGTATGCAAGAACCTCATTAAATTCTGCAGGCCAGTCTGTAAGAACTGCACCTCAAATAAATGGATTAAATTTGATATTTAGTATGTGGTTTACCTGGTGTGTGCATCTAGGATGCTAGAATACTAGCTGTACGCATACACCTGGTAAGCAACAACATAGCTTCGCAAGCTGGGTGATGGGTCTACAGCCAAAGGGACATCATGGCACCCCCTGTGAGGGAGTTTTTAGCTAGTAAACAAATAACTGTGCTGAAACACCCTCCCTGTTCACCAGATCTAACCCCCAGTGACTATTTTCTTTTCCAAAATGTAAAGGAAATATTGAAAGGAAGGTATTATGATGACATTGATGACATCAGGAGTAATACAATGGCAGCTCTGAAGGCCATTCCACAAAATCAGTTCCAAAATTGTTATGAAGGGTGGACTAGGCGCTGGCATTGGTGCATAGCTTCCCAAGGGGAGTACTTTGAAGGTGACCACAGAGATATTCAGCAGTGAGGAATGTAGCACTTCTACCATGATGAGTTCATGAACTTTATTGTCAGACCACATATACATACTCTAGTTACACATCATATTTAGTCACACATAAATAAGAAACCTAAAATATTAGTGTTTCTCTTATGCTGCAGTGCTGAACCAGCCATTACCCATGGCTGGAGGGAAATACTGGATTCTCAGATAAGTGGGGGAAACTTTAATTTATGTGGACCTCTGCAAAGGCCTGAAGGGCCAGAATCTCTTGTTCATGTAACAACAGATTTCTTGTGATTACCAACTTAAGTCATCTAACCCACTTACTGGGCATAAAATTAAGCTTCTTTGCTTTACACATTATTGTGAAATGAGACAGGAGTTGATAAGCCGATTTATTTTAAAACATCACTCATTAAAGTAAGACCTTAAAAAGAAAATGCCTTTCATTTTTCTGCCATACCAGTGAAGTGTTTATGATTTAGAAGATACTTGTATTATGCTTGCTAAACACCTTTAGCAGCTTTCATGCCAAGGACAGAGCCAATTTAATAAGCTCACTATCAATGTATAAACTGTAGGATGAAAATCACATTAAGGAATTTTTAAATAATTTTACAGCCTAAGAATTTTGTTTTGAGTTTTTAAAATCATATTTTAGAGACAAATGTTATATAATATATAACTATACCTGAATGCTGTAACAAACAATACAGAAACTTCAACTTCAGTATCCTACAATTTATGCGTCCCTCTCGTAAGTCCTACAACTCAAAACATGTTGAGTTGTTTGTAATAATGCATATCCCAGTCACTGGTTACTGAATTATCTTGTATACAGAAATACATATTTCCAATGTGAGAATGCATCACCCCATTTCTTTCTTAACCAATTTACTATTTCATTACAGAAATTAACATTCAAGCACAGATCTACATCCGGTGACATTTTTTATGTCTTTGAAAAACATATCATTTAACTATTTCATATGAACGTAACTTTTTCATCATTATTACTTCCCTGTTAATCAATGCAGTTCTTGTCTCTGCTGTCTTAAGTTGCTACAGTCTGCAAATTAATCTATGGACAATTCTGTTAAATGGGCTGAAGTTAAGAAACTTCAGTGGTAACAAGAGTTTGCATAATTGAAGAAATCTGTATCATTAACTTCATGCTATGGTTCCTATTTCATATAAAGATTACTGAGAGTTACTATTTTCCTTTTGTCCACCACTGGGTTAAGTAAATGTAAAAGGTAAAATTGTACCTGTGCTTAAGGACTATGCTATGAAGACATGAGAGTGGGGGTAGAGCTCCATGCATACCTAACCTCAACACTAAATGGAGGTGAGTTATCAGCTTCCTGCCATTATTTTATCCACATTAGCTAACAAACATCATGTGTTCTGCAAAGCATATTACATGGTGCTATTTGAAGAATGTCAAAATCCTAACACCTTGAAATGCACTTTCTACTTAATTGACTCTCACCTTGTGCATGTACTGTAGGTGTCATTTTACATAGTAAAAATAGCTAAGGTAATAAAGTGTATTTGTGTAAGTCAAATACAAAAATGAAATATAATGCCCACATTTAGAAATTATAAGAATGTACATAATGGAACAGTGCTTAAACTACGTTCTTAAAAAATCTAGAACAATGCTGGATCATACATCCATACCACTCCAGTACATAATACACACCACATATCACTCTCATCATGATTCTATGATTATGAATTCTCATATGGATGAAGCTGTGAAAAACCATAACAATGGCTGAAACATCACAAGATATTAACTACCAGATTAGAAGATAACACCTGGAGCTCGGATATCAGGCAAGATCTGAAGGAGAAAGTATTGCAAGAAAAGATGGTGAAATTAAGGATACAGTATGGGTGTGCATTATGTATGCAGAACAATAGTATTCCTTCCAGAGCACCAAAAATGAAAATTCTATTGAGAAAATCAAAATCTAGTTGCTAAGACCATGTGAGGGAAGACTTGGTTTCAGTATTTTGTCATTAACATACAAAGGATAAATAGTGATAAATACAACGCTAAGAATCTTTAGATAAAAAATTAAAATTAAATATGTACAATCATGAATGAAATCAAAATAGTGAATTCTGTAGAACTGAGTACTGCAATTTCACATTCAAGACACCCACTACTAGTCTTACTGTGCCTATTGCCCTGTAATTAAATCTTAAATCATGAATTGTTCTTATAAGAGACATTTCACAGAAAACATTCAAAAGAAGAGAAATATGTACCAAATCCTCAGTTTCCTTCAAATCCCACTGTTGAACACAGAGATTGTACTCAATAACAGATTTTGGATAATAATTTTTTCTCTTCTAAAAGTGGAATGCTGAGCCCCATTAAAATTACCACAGCTTAGAAACCACTGCTTGTGGAACAGTAGATTCTCAAACAGATGACTGGATGAACTGAAGCCAGATACAAGAAAATTAATTTGTACTGAATTCTCTGTGGGTTTTCAAAGTAGCTAGAATCAAAGTTTCTAACACCTCCTTTAGCAGCAGATTCTAGATAAATAATAGTCAAATGAAAGGAACTACTGATTATCTCTGACCAAGAGAGCATCAAATGACATACTCTTACTTGACCTGACAATGTAAAATAGCCAGTTCTGAGTTCAGGACTGGATGAGACTTGGTTGGAATGCAGTTCACTTTAACACATTGTGGACTGGGGATTTAAATATTTAAATCACCCTGGGGCCACCATTATTAAACCTACTATCCTAACTTGTGCGCTGTTCACTTTAAAAATTAATATAAAATCTCCTAATTAATTTTATGAGCTAAAATTTTTGGAGAACACTTACCAATGCTCCTAGAAGTGCTTGAGATTGTGATATTTCTGGAAACATTCCCCTTTGTGAAGTGGCATTACACAGAACTTGCAAATGTAAACATACTCCTTTTTTTGTGAACTGTGCAAACACTGCATTGCCTAGAAGGATGCTTCCCCTTGGAATGTTCACTTTTCACAATTTTCACGAGGGTATATTTCCGCACATCACCCGAAAATTGCTCTGGGGGTCCACATGAGGCCTGCGTGGGGTGGGAGTTGATTGGCCCAGTAGCATTAAGTCTGCGTCTGACTCTGGTTCTGCCGCCACCATCTGGTCTGTAGCCCAGGCCTTTGCCACATTCATCAGAAATGCTTTGTATTTCAATTTTGAATCAGGGTTTAGATTTTGTGATTTTTTTTAGACTTTTTACTGTCCCCGCAATGTAATTAGCCCCATTATCGTCAGAGCTACTGTTACTTTTACTGTCTGTGGCCACAATTCTTTGTTCTCCCCTGTCACTGCCGCTCTCTGAATCACCATTACTACGCATCTCATGAGCCAAGTCAGCTAGCTCATCAGAGAAGAATTTGTCCTTGTCCATACCCCACCACTATCTACTGGCTGATACATACAGCTCAAAGAGCAGCAAAGCATTTTCGTTAAGAAAACAGCAAGGTCAAGTTACTGACAAGTAAGCAAACATTCCAGAGTTTTATTATGATGTGGCGTGCAACTTGGGTGGTGCCAGAGCAAGGAATTGTGTTACAAACTAACGTGTCCTAAAATTGTGATATCATGCGACTGGTCCGCCACATTTAAAAGCCAAAAGCATGATATCATGCGACCTGTCCTCAACGTGTTAAGATTTCATGACATCACGTCACTTGTTCCTAGATAACTATGTGTTCAGTTCTTGTCATACATTTGTGTGTGTATTGCCCATATTAGCCACTACATCACAGCTAAGCAATTTTAATATCACAGCATAGATTTGAAGACAATTAGATTTTCCACAGGCAGCCTACTTGCTGAGGGAAACTGCAGAGCCACAAAATTCTTGATTGAAGCAAATTTGGTTATGTGTCTAAAAATTCACAGTAATTTAGAATTATAGTATCTATTCCCAGTCAATAACTAGAGACCAAATGGACTGCAAAACATTACTGTTACATCATTTGATTATGAGGAAACACATTCATTCTTTACATTAACTGGACATCCACAGGTGCACTACATCATATGAACAATTTGCTGGCTATACATTGCACATAATAGGCTTAACTCTCCTGCTCCAAATATGAATTTGCTGTAATATTGCATATACAGTAAAACTTGGTTATAGCAACATCGGTTTCTGCGACACCTTGTCTATTGCGTCAAATATTCAATGGTACGAACTAATTCCTCATAAAGCAACTGTTTTTATACCTTGCTTAGTATGACATGCACAAATGCATCAACCTCGTATGTAACGTCATTTTCATTCCTGAATTTCTCTGATATGGACATTGAACGTAATTTAGAAAGTGTGTATTGGGNTGTATTGTCAGTGAAAAGCGCTGTAATATGTCTTTGATATTACACATTTGGGCAATTCCACGTTAATGTCACGTTAGTCTGTACTTAACTACGCATTTCACTAAAAAATGCAACATTTTAACTCGGTTTTTGGTAGATTTTTACGTGACTAACATAAGGCTACTGTGGAAGTACCCATTTCGGTTACGACATTCGTTTATAACGACACTATTTTTACGTCCCTTTGATGACGTTATAACCAAGTTCTACTGTATTTGCAAAAATGCAATAAATTGGTAAGAAATGTAATCCATAAACCTTCATTTACACAATTTGTTCACAATGTAAATGGCTTGAAATTTACTTTGTGTTAGGCTATACGGTTACTAAACACAGAACTAATTAGTAATGTTTCCTTTCATTCTGGGGTGAGTGAACAACCCAAAATGAAGTAATTCTATCATGTCCCACACTGCAGTACAGAGCATAAACACCAGATGGCAACATAACTTGGAGCTTCATAGCCCTTTGTTGAAATAAACATATGTAGGAACGTCCCTTCCAGCACAGGTCTCTTTCAGTTTCTGGTACATTTCTGGCTCCAACCACTCCAATGTAGTAGTTTTCAGGGAACTAAAAGTGAAGAGAAATTTCTCAAAGTATAGTTTAAAAGGGAAGTTCAAAGACACTATATGCACAAAACAAGAAATTCTGGGAAGAACTTATGATGCTTACTTTCCTTCAGATACATCACTATATATGGTAAGGCTACCAACAACTACAAAGTAATAATTAGCAGTTTATTGATTTACTGTATGTGTAACTTCCACTACACTAATTCGCATAGTCACCACAACTGTAACTGATAAGTTTACAAAAGTTTCATACAGAACTCATACATATATTTATGATCTTCATACAAAATTGAAAATGGAATATAACACCGTATAGTCCGTTGAAAGTCAACTGACGTTTCAGAGAAACATATCACCTCCATCTTCAGGGTCAAATAAGCAGAGTAAGATACCAGCATGAAAGCAGGTGGCAAGCTGAACTGTACATGCCTAGCTCCAATGGTTCATTAGATAAAAACTTAAACACAGACTTCATATGGCCACCATGTTGATCTGCATTCTGCAGAAAATTACCTTAACAAAAGTTGCGTATTTTTTTAGCAATTACCACTCAAAATTTTAGGTGGGATCAATATGAATGACACTAATTGCAGGGCCATGAAAGTTTATGTGGTAAAAAAATCACAAAAAATCTGTAATTTTTGCAAGTCTTTCCTTCTGTAGGAAGTTAAGTAACAGGGTGAATATAAGACATACATATTTAGCTTTCAGTCTGACAGCAATAACCAATGAACCACTGCAGTTAGAAATCTGATACTTCATAGCTATATACTGTATCATAAATGTACCTACAAATTCTGTATGAAACATTTCCTTGCATCCTGAACATGGTGAACAGTGTGGTTATGGTTAATAACATTCATAAAAACAAAATTGATACAGTGGGTATTATACACAGAAGATCAGAAAGCTATATAGTTTTTAATTTAATAGCGTAACATGCATTGAGAATTCAATAGGATGACTCTTCACTTGTTAAAAATCTTTCATTCTATTAACTTCCCCTGCTTTCTGCCATATTCCTTTCCACTCCTACACATTACTGAATGATACGTTGAGGTCAACTTGTAACGCCATCTCCCATAAATAATATACACAAGTAATACATAGTAAATCATCTACTTCATATAAAATACACTTCACATATCCATGTCAAAATATTATCAGTACTCATCGAAGAGACACAAGACACTGAAACAAAAGACTGCTTGCTCGCTCATGACCTGCTACATAACTTATGTCCTTGCAATGTGTTAACATTTGACAAGTCACTGCTACGGTAAATCAAAATCACACAATTTCAGAACTTTCATCTTACACATTACAAAATTTTGTTATGTGTACAGAAGGATAATTCTTGTTATGAAACATTTAAAGCATATTTTGTGTCATTAAGGTTTTCCAGAATTTCCTACATAAATTTGTGGGAAGGAAATAAGAACAAAATGTTTTATGCAAACTTGTAATAAAACTATATATCTACATTTGATATGTTTAGGTGTAGTGGGAAAAAGTGTGTCACTTAAAAAAGTACAGTTTTACACTTTTCTTACAAAAGTCTCAACATTTTAAATCTTTTCATCGTGCAGACACACTACAAATTTTATTCCGTGATTTGTAAAAGGAAAAATGCGATTGAAGTCATTTAGTCCTTTTATGTTCACTTCAGTGACTGTGTACAGAGAGGACATACCTTAACTTACCAGCTTTAGAAATAAAACTTCATAATTTTATTAATGTAATAAAAGAGTTTACCATTCTCTTGTGGTCAATGATGTTTAGCCACTGACTAATATAACAAACACAAACTATACCATGAATCTTCACTGAAATAATATAAATTATAAGCTTATAACCATTGCCTGTATGAATATTGGCAAGCGACTGATTTGTATTAGCTAAGCTGTCAAAACTCAGGTCACCCATCTGTTGGTGCTTTGTATGTTCTGATGTTGAGGCCAAAACTGAGCATGATCTTATTTGGCATTAAGGACAGTAGAGATATGAGGTCTACTTCTTTTCTGTGCTGATGGCCTGAAGTTTGTCTTCTTTTATATTGTTTACCTAATAATTACTATTTCCCAGTTCAGAAAGATTATATATACAAGAGGATAATTATCATACTGTTTGAACCAACCAAATTTTATCAATGCCATTTACATTTCTAGTGGAAGTAATGAGTTCTAACACACTACCATATCTCTTAGACGTACTTGAACTAGCATGATTCTTTCCGATTAGCTCATTCTCCTTAAAAAATAGCACCATTTAAGAAAAATCACATTTCACTAGAAATCTGCCTATTATCTGTTTTACCTTATATATCTGATTTAGTGGTATTCCACACATTCTTCTCCTATGAGCACTGCTTATCTTACAAAAAGAAAACTATGATATGAATTTATGTAATCTTTACAGAATCCTTTTTTCACCACCACTGAATTAAAATTATCTTAAACTGTGCTTTAACACACGATGTCACAACAAAAAAATATATTTATACCATTTACACACCAAAATCTTTCAAGTAAATTACATGAATACTTACCACCTCTGTGGAAAAAGAGAACATGCTACTGGAACCATGAATATCAGGCTGAAACATAAACCAGGTAGAAATATGAGGCAACTCCATTATTTCTTAAACTGTACTGACAACTTCAAGACAGTGAATGTACAGTGCAAACCTGACAGAATGAGTACAGCTCATAACAAAAATTAAATGAAAGTGAGAAAAATCATCACCACCATCAATTTCTTAATACTAGTTAACAAGGAAAAATCTCATATAAAATGATGGCTATTTAATTGGCACTTTTCATCATAATGAGCAATGTATAATTAACACTGACTTTTTCCATAACCTTCTGCACTGACTGGACTTGAAGTTTTGCTTCTAAAGTTATTTACAATTGGCAGTCCACACAGGTACCATCAACCCAACCTCCCCTTTCATCAGAAGAATGCCTGCATTTCAGAAACTACCTGTGAATACATGTCAAAACAGAGAATTTGCTCAGCTTTGAGGTACTAGTGCTTAGTGTCCTTGCACAGAGCCATACTGATATGTAACTGAATAACATTACCTACCTTGGTTCAAAATGTAACATGGCCACAGCAATGGACAATGTTTGTAGGACGACATTTACAATGACTTGACAGCTTCAAGGTGGAGCCACCCCAATACTTTTAGGCAATGAAAAATGTCCACCACATGAAGTCATCTGAACTTCCTCTTTTGTTCAGCAACTTGTTTCATTGTGTATTGTGTCATTTGGCTAGTGAATGGGAGATTAACATTTTTCTGTGCTCATATGTCATGTTGCAGAAGTTAAAAACTGTTCCACCTTAGGTATGGTGAAACATAAATGCCTAGATCTGAATATGAAGTTTAAACCAATACATCTGTTCAAAGTTGGCAGCTAATTAAAGAGCAATATAGGAAGATAGCTGACTGTCTTCTTCAACACCGTTCACCATTTTGAAGAACAAAGACAAAATCAGCTGTTGTATGTTATGGAAAACCAGTGATACAAAAATGAATCAGGAAGAATGAAGATCCTGAATCTGTCCTCTCTGAGTAATTTTAACAAGAAAAGCTGATGGACTAATGATCAAGGCTAATGACAACCATTTCATAGAATACTTAGGACTCAAGAATATCATTCTGAAAAATGGCTGTACTGTTTGAAAGCAAGAAAAGACATGAGTATGCATACAGTATTAGGCAACTTTGCTGCACTGATAATCAGACACAGCAAACGTATTAAAGAGTTGGTTCAACATCCAGCTCCTTTGTGCATCATATTTGTCAAGAAAGCTCAGTACAAGTCAATGCACTTATCCACACATACATATGCATGTACAAAAAATTATGAATGGAATGTGAAAGATATCTGTGGGTGAACAGGCAATGCAGATATTGGAATGTGGATGGAACTCATAGGCATGTGGCAAATAGCAGTCAGGACTTTGGGAGCTCTGATTAAGCAGTCAGTTATTATTTTCATGATAACCACTTAAGAAAAATAAATGTTGCCATACCGACTTTTTTTTTTAACTGTAGTGGGCTATTGTGACATATGTAATTAGAAATCAGGAGATGGACTTGAAATGAATACCAACCACTTTCAGTTATAATAAGGCATGTTACACTAGGCAATTTTTATGAATTTTGTAAATTCTCACTATACTGAGGTTACACTATAATTTATAGTGCCATGCACATGCATGCGCACACACATTCTCTGCATAACAAATTGACTTTGTTATGCAGCTGATGGCCATTCAGCCCATCCAGGGATTCTCTATTACATAATCCAAATACCCATGAATAGATTGTATCCTGAGTCAATTTAACTGAATTCATATCTCTAAGATCCAATGGTAGATTTAGTGTTAGAAATTTGAACATTCAGCTTCTAATACCAGAAGGAGTCAAATTTCACAGTTTCTGGCTTTTACAAAACAGCCACATGAGCCTTCATACTCACAAACATCCAACTGCCATTACTTGGAAAGGAGCATGAAGGGGCTGAATTTTCTGCATAAAAGGGTAGCGCTCCAGTTTCTCCATCACAACAGGAAGGATGGCTGAAACACGGACAGCTATTATAGCTCTGTATAGCTTATCAGGCTAATGACAGGATTCAACAGATTCCAGGTGTCAGGTCACCATGGCACCTAATATTTTCTAGAATTAGTCAGTTCACATTCCTAAAACAATAAAGGAAATGTAAAGGTAAAGCTATCCCTGTAACAGGCCCTGGAGGCCCATAGGGTTACAAGAGGCCAAGGCTCCCACATTTTCTAGACAATTGGCTCATGGCTCGCAGTGAGGTTGTCAGCCTTATGTGCCAACCACCCATTACCCCCAGGAAGATTCCTATACTCATTTTTGTTAAGAGGCTTAGTCGACCCAGGGCTATAGTGCGGCTGGAAGGATTAGGTCAATTGAGAAAAGTCCAATGACCTCATTGGGAAAATCGAACCCACAACCTTATGGCTTGTAGCACAGTGCCTCAACCAACTACACTACTGCATTCCCCCATAAAACAATAAAGATAAACATGTGTTAAAACAATATTTTTTTTTTGTATGGTAGTAAAACATGATATATAAGGGAAGAACATACAAGGGCTGTTCAGAAATTAACCTCCATTTTAGGCAACTAATGTATGAGCGAGGGAGAGCTTGTGCATATGAGGTAGCATCACATGATTCATTGCCTTGTAAACCATCACATAACTCATCACTAGGGCCCGGATCTTTATGCACTAAAAAGTGGGAAAATATGCACTTATGAAACAGGTCACTTTATTCAGACTCACCTATTTACATGTATCATTCACTGCAGAAAGTAGCATCACAAGAGGCAACTAGAAGTCTTTCAATGTTTTCTGGAGACAAACTACGTCTATTGTCCGTCAAAATTAGTTTATAGGCTGAGAATGATCTTTCTATTGGACAGTATTTATACACTGGTGCCGAAGGTTCGGAACATTCATCTGGCAAAGATACCCTAATTCCACTCAAGTACTGACTAACTGACTGAAACTTTTTTAGTCCTGGGTTCCATTTCAACACCTTTCCTAACTTGAATTTAATCTTCTCTCCAATTTCGCCTGGAGCGGAATTCAGTGAACAAGTTGTATTCTGAACGAGTTGAATTAAGTCGTTAAGAAGTGCACCACAAGATTCTAAGCTCTCAATGGCTTTTGAAACTGTAGAAAAATGTGCATGGATAAAATTCACCTCTTGATAAACAGTATCACTTCCAAACACCACTTTTGCTTCACAGACACATGCATACTCATCTTCAAGTTTTGTAACCACTTCTTTTACTTGATTGAAATTCTCCTGATAAAATGAAACTGCGGATATCCGTGTCCCCCACCTAGTTAGGACAGGTTCAGGTGGCAGAGGAACCTGAAGTTGGCAATCTTTGTAGAACTGGACACGAGCTGGTGCTTTCAGAAACAGTTTTTTCCCACTTGCAATTAAATTGTTAACAGCTGGAAACTGTGCACATATTTTTTCTGCAATACGGTGTAATCCGTGCGCTAAACAGGTTACGTATATAAGATTTGGGTAAAATACTTGTAAGGCCTTTGATGCTCTCAACATGTAGAAAGCACCTTACAGCAATTATTCTCAATTTCAGATGGTCATAGTAGTCGCAGAGAATCATTTACAAATCTTGCTACTGTGCTATGGTTGGTTTTCTCTAGTACTTTGCAAGCAAGAAAATGAGGGTTGCCGGGTTCGTCTGGATGTAGCTTACCAACTACAAAATTTGCTATGTATCGGCCACATAAATCTGTTGTCTCATCCACAGATATCCAGACACAGTTCCCTCCGATGTCAGAACGGATTGACTCGAGTAGATTGATACAGCAAAGGTAGATAATTTTTTCTAAGAGTTGATTCATCTGGGATTTTTTAATTACACAATATTTCTCCAGAAATGATCGCAGAACTGGATTGCTTAATTTATTCCATGGAATGTTGCTGCATACTAAAGCCTTACAAAGATCGGCTGAAAATATATTAACAGAGGATTTCGGTTTGACCTGTGTAAGAAGTAGCAGTTGTAGTGTGCTGTTCTTCTTCCCCTTCTTTGCCATGATATGTGCAGTCGTTCTTGAGTGTTGTTCAAGTTGAAATTTCTTTTCACATTTTACTTCCTTTGCGCACACTTGACAGTACACGGCAACACCGTCTGTTGAATAGTCACTATTACCCGACACCCACTGAATTTTTAAATATCTACTGCTGCACTTTTCTATGGGCATTTTCAGTACATGAACACTTTTTTGATGCAGACTATTAAAGTAAAGAGTAACACATTAACTGAAGAGACTTCTCTCGAGACCAACCCTCTGATGCTACTGTCTGCTGTGGTGGTCAAAGGGATGCATGAAAATCGCAACCCCTCCCTTTCAAAATAGCCAAGCTACCTGCTTGTATTGTAAATGGTAAAAGTGCCGTTACTCAGAGAGCTGAGAATAGCAACTGGCAAGGGATGTCCAAAACACAGGCAAAACCGATTTTGTTAGAGAAAATTGAAATGATCCTTAATTCAAAACGTATATGCAGAAATATGCTCTTACGTTTAGAATATGCAATAACGACCAATTGCAATTTGCACTGTTATCCACATTCTTTATGCTAAAAACATGAGTGCTGCAGAATTCCATCATGAATTATAAGCGGTTTATGGCAAAAATATAACGAGTGAAGGAACTGTAAGGCAAACGGTGTAGAATGTGCAAAGATGGGTGAACAAATGTTCACGATGAAGAGCAAAGTGGTTGGCCATCTGTAGTGCATAATGATATTGTTCAAAGAGTTGACCAAAAAATTACTCAAGACAGCACTTCACAATTTCAGAATTCCCACAAATTTCACATGCTCTTCTCTATGACATTATCACAGTTAGGCTTGGCTATCACAAGTTTTGCACAAGATGGGTTCCATAAATGCTCACAGGTGCTCACAAAATGTAGAGAATTGCTATGGCTTTGGCTTTCTCAGAGCCATACTACAAAGATGCCGATGAATTTCTCAATCATATTGCACAAGTAACAGGTGATGAAACCTGGATTTTATTTGTGAATGTTGAAACCACAGAGCAGTCAAAGCAGTGGATGCACACACATTCACCAAACAAGATGAAAAAAGTTTAAACAAATGTTGTCTTTGTTTCGTTGTCTACCTGCCAGAAAGCTGATGACAGCTGTTTCCTGGGATAGAAATGGAGTGCTGATGGTGGAATTCATTAAATACAGGACTACAATAATGTCAGACATGTACTGTGCAACACTAAAAAAGATGTGTAGGGTCATTTAGAACAAAAGGCATGGAATCGTGACATCTGATGTAGTGCTCCTGCATGACAATCTGTGTTCACATACAGCTGTTTGCACTCGATCACTGCTGGATCATTTTAACTGGGAACTGTTTGACCACGGTCCTTAGATTCCTGATCTCGTTCCGGGTGACTACTACCTGTTTACCTACCTGAAAAAAACTGATTGGGATCACAGTGCTTCAACAGAAAGAAGGGGTTGATGGAAGGCATCAAAATGTGGCTGAGCTCATAGGTGGCAGACTTCTATGACACAGGCTTACAGAAACTTACTCTCTGGTACAAGTGTCTCAATTCCAGTATTGACTACGTTAAGAAGTAGCTTGAGTATGTATGTACTTTTTTTGTACATAATAAAATTTTTTACTCATGCTTGTTATGTTAACAGCTCACTGGAGGTTACTTTCCAAATAGCCCTCACACATTGCACCACATTTAGAGGAAAGTGCTCAGAATATATTTGGATGCTAAGAGGTAAGAAGTATGTGAGCAAATTATGAAATTACACAACGATGAGGTTGCTAGTGAACTGATTAGGTATGCATCTAAAGAGAGTTTCTGAAATTTCTAAATAAATGTTGTACAGCATGAAAGATTCCCAGTGAATTTGCAGTTCCTGTAGCAGAATCATAAATACAACACCTTATGGCTAAGTAGTGATTCGCAAATGACTGAAAATTGGGAAGGAAGGGCCAATCAGACCCAGTGGCAGACCTATTTGTATCTTCTTCTTCATATAATGGCAGAAGAAGCATAGTCTCATAGATGGTTTTCTACATTACTTCCACCCTGAAGATGGAAGAAGCAGGATGCTTCGAAATACTGGTAATTACATATTACACATTGTCATAGGTCAGGAGACCACAAACCACTTTCATCCTTAAGATGGTGGCAGCAGGTACCTCTGAATTTGGTATGAGACTACTTGGCATCATAACTCACAAAGTAAGAACCTCAATTTTCACTTTTATGAGAACCTCAAATCTCTTATAAAGGATCACCCTGTTTTGACTTACTCATTCCTGGTGCACACATTACGATTCTGGACAGCACCACCTGTGAAATTCCTTTAACAGCTGCTACCTAAGGAATAAATACAAGGGAATTAGTGACTGGTCATTTCCAGTACAACATACAAAATACACAAGGAAAACTGCAAAGCATTACGAAGAGGATCACTGCCCTCATCACGGTAGGGCTGAACTGGATTCTTGTTAGTAGGGTCACCAGTTAATTGGGTCAGCCATTCATGTGGGGCAAATTCTGAAGAAGAAAAACAAATCAAGAATATTACTAGAACTTGCTCTTATTTGGGACACCATGCCATTTAATTGGTCCAGTAGCTGCCACATGGCACACTTGTGATTACTGCATCATCAGTGAGTCACTGACTCAGTATAAATGAACACCTAGCTACAGCTGCTCTCAGTCTTGCAGTGACTGCCTTTGTAAGTGTACTGTGGTTTGTGCAGCAATTTTTTCATATAAAATTTTTGATCCCTACAGAAATGCCTAGGAGAGATGTAACACTGAAAAAATTAAAAACCAACTGCCTAACACCAGTCATTGCCAATTAGCAGAGAAAACTGGTGTGTTGAAATTACAACTGCACACACTACATAGCAGCAATAGAAACTTGAGATGAATGGACATTACATCATGGACAAAAGGGACCTTATGAAAAATGAAGTTCTCTGTCATAACCGGACGAGGTGTATGTGTCAGTGATCCAATGCTGAAAAATGAGTCGGAGGAGTTCGACAAAAATCTGGGTCATAACGATTTCAAAGCAACAGATAGCAGGTTGTCTTGACAGAAATCCACATTTGGGATAAAATTCAAGAAGGCACACAGTGAGAAGGACAGTGCTGACGCTGTTAGGTGCTGAACAATGGAAATCCACAAAGCTGCACAAACTTGCTTCGGAAATTTTGTGCAGATGATACCTACAATGCAGATGAAATAGGTTTATTTTATTGTGCCACACCAGATGGTTCCCTAAGATACAAACACAAAAGTGTATCTGGTTCAAAGAAAGCAACAGATTATGTAACTGTGTTGTGCTGTTCAAACATATCAGGAACTGATAAATGGAAGCTGTCAGTTACTGAGATAAGGGCTAAGCTTCGGTGCTTTAATGGGATTAGTATGAACAGTTTACCAGTTTTGTGCTATGCATGGATGACATCTGAAATCTGTTAAGAAATGGCTAATGAGTTGGGACATGGAATTACAATGTAAATTGAGGAAAATATTACTGGTTCTAGATGACTGTGCAGCACACACTCATGTGTCCAACTAGTGAGAACAAAGGGGCCACAAACATGGATGCCACAAAAGGAAAGTAAAGCAAAACAAGGAGAGAATTTTCATTCTTAAACAAACACATTTTAATGTGAACAATGATATGCAAAAGCACGGAAAACATTGACTTATGATCTAGTGCAGTGCAAGAGTTTCAACAGTCAATAAGTGAACAATTGTCTGAAGATGGCCAAGCAGGGCTGAAACATGTAGCAATTTATGTGATTTTAATGTAATTTTACATAAAAGAGAGATTGCAAAAAATTTTGGATTGCAATTAGAGATAGAAATGAATGAGTGAGTGATACATCAATGCAATAGGATGTTAAAATATATTATTTTTCTATGATTTGCACCAGTTGTTTCAGCTCATTTAAATCCAGTATTTTTGTTACCTATAAAGAGAAAACTNGTGATTGGCACCAGCTCATTTAAATCCAGTATTTTTGTTACCTATAAAGAGAAAACTTATCTTTTTTTCTTATGTATGAGTACATGTACCTTCTAACCCCTTACGTGCATTTGGGCAGCTGCTTGACTGGCGCAAAATACTCTGGTCCCAGTGTGCCCCAATTAACTGAATCTACAGTATAGATAACTGTGAAATGAACATAATAAATTCCTTTATCATGTTTTGAACACAAGTGAGAAAAAATTATGCAAAGAAACACACAAAAAGGTAAAGTGATTCATGTGTTTAATTAGTTAAGCACTATACTATGAAGACATATGGGGGAGTGGAGGTACAGCTCCATCATTCTTGTCCTCAACATCACATACCCTCCATAAAACAAAAAGTTATGGAAAAAACTGACATCCGCTTTCTTTAAGACCCTTAAAACCTAAAAGTTCTGTGTCATCTCCATGTTTGTAATTGTTAACACACTACACAAAAAAAAAAGTTTTCTTTTTTTTTTTAATTTTATAGGTATATTTACAACATCAAGACAAAAGTTACTGGGCAAGGACATGCATATTGGTAGCTATGAGACAAATAACCTGTACTTCCATAAAAACCGAAAAAGTATGTGGGTCATTTCATAAATAAGCACAGGTTGGCAACACTGCAGATTAGATGATGCAACAACAGTGAGCCTCAAGTCAGTTACAGTTCAGGGCTTGAGAAAGAAGCATGTTATTTTGTTTCATTTATAATGTATTCTGTTCTTAAATAACGTGAGTTAGAAATGGAGCCTGCACGGTTCTCGGGTATTGTGAATGTTGCAGATCAAAGGTCGTACATTAACATCAAAACTTTACGTGGAAAAAACATGACAGAAATCCACAGTGCTTTAAGCAAAGTTTGTGGCAAGTTAACAGTGGACCATGGTACAGTTTCTCGCTGGGCTAGTCATTTTCATGGTGGTCGTGTGAGCATAAACGATGATCGAAGGCCAGGAAGGCCGAAAACATCAACAGATGAAGTGTAAAACTTGTGTCAGCTGCTCTTGAAGATCGTCGTACAACATGTGAGGAAGTTCCTGAAACCACAGGGATTCCACCAATGTCAATATTCCGAACTCTGACAAATGATTTAAAGAAGAGAAAGATTTCTGTGCGATGGGTCCCTCACTGCTTGACTGCTGAACAGAAGCAGAAATGCCTAGACATTGCAACCTTGCTGAAACAAAGATTCAACGTTCAAGGTCAAGCATTCTTGTATCGACCTGTCGCTATTGATGAAACGTGGGTTAGAGACTTTGAACCGGAGCTGAAATCACAGTCCAACGAGTGGAGAGGTCCATCTTCCCCATGACCAAAAAAATTTTGATGATCTTAATCAGAGGTCAAACAAATGATGATCTTTGCTTATGATCACCAAGGAATCATGACAGACAGAGTTCCGTGCGGGAAAAGTATCACAACAGTTCATTATCATGACTTTATGCAAAATCTGCGCAGAAATATGCACAAAAACCAACCTCAGATGCTTGAGGCTGGGCCGATCATTCTCCATGACAACACTCGCCCGCATATCAGGAATGTCGTAACAGAAAAGCTGTGCCAATACGGTTGGGAGGTATTGCCTCTTGCTCCCTACAGCCCTACAGTCCACCAGACTTCGACTTATTCCCAAAGTTGAACAACCTATGTGAGGCTGTCGTTTTCCCTCTCTGGAAGAGCTTTCTGCTGCAGTTATCCGAGCCATCTGACAGATAAACAAAGATGGTCCTGGATGGAATAGTAAAGCTTCCCACACGTTGGGACTTGGTCATTGAGAAGCAGGGGGACTATATTGAAGGACTGTAAAGAGATATTAAAAAAAATAAACATAATAAAAAAATTGTGTGCATTATTTCTGAAATGACCTACGTAGGAAAAGAAAACTGCACAGGTCATCTCAACAGTAACAAGAAAGAGAGAAAGTAAAGAAAAAGAAGATGAGTAGAGGGAACCAAACATTCATCATCACATTCACAAATATCCAAAACCAGACCCCATACTGAGCCACCTGAATCCAGTCCAAAACTTCACAACATTATCTCAATAATCCATTTTAATGTTATCCTCCAATTTTCAGATGGGTTTCTCCCTTGAGGTTTTTCAGTCAAAGTTTGAAAAGTTGCACTTTTCATTTTTCCCACACATTATATATCTTGCCCAACAAAATCTCTATTTACCCTATTACCCTATAAATCTTACCCTGGATTGTGTAATCTTATTTTCATTCTCATCATAGACATCAATGCCATATATCAACTCATTCTGGCGCATCAGTGGGATATTCACACAATTGGCAGCTGCCACTGCTGCAAATGGAACGTAGCGCTGGAACACCCAAGAGCGACAAACCATGAACTAAAACATGCTTACTCCTCACATACCACTAGAAATCAACCATATGTCATTTTGCACAGGTTAATTATGGAAAAAGTAATTTATGGTAGTTTTCCTGTCATATAAGGGATGTGTAGTAACAGCCTCCAATGGCGGACGTTCCCCTTCCTCTGGGTTCCTGAACTGTCCCCGGCCTCAAATACCAGCTTCTAACAGCAACACCTAACAATGACTGTACCACAGCAGTCCTCTAACTAACTCAGTCGCTCACCAACTGACTGCCTCCACTCCAATGACTGACTTTCACTAACTAATTGTTCTGCTTATAACACCTCAGCATGGACCACATAGAAAACACCATTCCTCTGTTGCAGTTCAGTTGTTGCATTTGTGTCTGTTGGGATGCCCACATGATCACTATTCAGGCACTGCTGTTGTATAACTGCTTATCTCGTGATCTTTGCCTAACAATGGGTTTACATGTCACAATATAGTCTTTTCTATGAATGCAGTGAAATAATCCATTAGCACTTTTATGTTTATCTGTATGTATCAGCTCCATTCTGCATATACAGAGGTGGATGAAATCTATCAAGGAGATTGTGATTCTTCTATCAGCATGGCCCTAGAAACTGCCCAGCCTCCTTTTCACTGAGTTCTAGAATAAGAACTCTCCCTACATGACAGAACTGTTGTCTGACAATGCTTATAACAGAGCTCTTTGTTCCATTTGTTGAATGAAGCTATCATAATCCCATTAGAGTTAACTTTATTCAACAAATGGTCATGTATTTTGATAGTTCACCAGGTTTATTTAGCTGAATGATGTGCCTCTTTCAAGTAGGTTATGATTTGTGTATTTCTTGTAGTGATTTTCTCGCCACTTCATACTGTAATTTCTCAAGTCAGGCTTACAAACTGAGCAATGTTCTATTACTGAATAATTTAGGTTGAGAAAGTTTTTATGCTGCTGCTGCTGACTGACACCATATAGTCTGGGTTTCTTACAGCATCATGAGTAAACCACAAACAACTTTATGACACTGCTGTTTTCAGTGATTGTGTGATTGAAACTTACGTAAATGAAGAGAGAAGTAACATCCAAATGGCAAAATAAATTGAGGGAGGGACAATTGTAGCACTTCAGAATATAAGTGAAATCTTGTAACTAGCATTTAATAACTGAATAGGAAACTGAAAGAAATACTATATGACTTATATGTCCAAGAAAGCATATAAAGTTCCCAATATGCCATTGAAGGAATGAAGAATAGAGCAATGGCAGACAAGGTGTACACATTAAATAAACACTTTATGGAACACTTTACAGGGAAAATTATCATATAGCCTCCTAATAACCGGGGCAGTTCAGTTGTCTTTATACTGCTCATAAATATTCTATTTTAGCTTCATATTGTGCTTGTGATGTGCCTCTTTCAAGTAGGTTATGATTTGTGTATTTCTTTTCAGTGATTCTGTTATGACGATTCTGTACAGTCCAAGTCAAATTGTGACTGATGTTCAGTAGTCAGTAAGTCTTGGTGTCGAGCCCTGTCTGGGGCTCATGACCAGATATTTATTACTGTTGAAGATTACGGTTTTCCTTTTTGTGGGGAGTCTACTCTGACAAAAGGACGGGTCTGTCTTTTTTTACATGCTATTGGCCCTTGCTAGCGCAGTCTTTCTCGGGTCCAAGTCCCTTGGGACTCGCAACCATATTTTACTGTGTGTGAAATTTTCTTTATTATTCCATGACCACAATAGAAAACGTGGATACGCCATACATTCATCGCTTCTTAGTGGCCTCCGTAGTCTAGGGGTAACGTTCCCACCTCACGACTCAAGGTACGCAGGTTCAAACCTGGCGGAGGTCATGGAATTTTTAAGGGCGGAAAAATTCAGGGAACAAGTCCTCTGGGAGGGACTTTAAGCCGTGCGTCCCATGTCGTAGATTTATGGCACGTAAAAGATCCTCATGTCTCTAGGAGACCTCTGAGCGAAATTAGGCAACAATTTCCCGCCCAAGTAGTTTCCAACGCCTCTGGTAGATGGGGGAAATATCAGGTACCAACGGCCGACCTCGTTGGCTGAACGGGGCTGATAGTACGCACCAGTACCGGTAGGGTATGGGGACAGTAGAAATTAAAGGGGGACACACAATGGACCAATAACTGGTCTAGGTGCATGGGGAAACCCACCCCCTCTAATAATAATAATAATAATAAATAATAATTCATCATTTCTTACAACATGTTCTGGCTCACTAAGGTATTTTGACCTTTTACATTTGCCTGTATTTGTCTGCTATTATTCCTACATTGACCAGTGTTTACATATTGCAACACTGATTTTCTTAGCAGCATATAATTCTGTTATATACATCTCAGTTTCAAAACCAATACCACACACAAGAAACAACACTTCTCAAAAATTATGAAACACAATCACATACCTAAAAGCCAACAAAACACATATTACATCAATACAAGACCAGTAAGAGCTCCAAAGAAACACATCGGTAGAAGAGATACATCTACACACACTACATCCATATAAAACATAAGAAAAACCTTTACAAATGTTTAATGTTAATGATTTAATATATTAAAAACTAATATTTCATCTTAAGGGTGAACATACCTCAATAAATAATGGCATTAAGTACCAATAAGAAAACAAGTATTCCAATATGTACACACTGGCCAATGTAGGAATACCAAGTTGAATACCTGATGATGGCTCCATGAGCTGAAACACGCTGTAAGAAATGAATAATGTATGGTGTGTCCATACTTCCTACTGTGGTGACAGAATAATAAAGGCAAATCTATACTACTCACTTATCTCACAGAATAGAACTTTAAATCACTTGCTGTGTACAGCATGCCCATAAGCAAGACACTGAAACTATGCTCACAATATCTAAAATACCTAATAAAAGGAGAAGCTATCTTTGTGTTTCATTAATTAAGCACCACACCATGAAGACATATAAGGAGCAGAGGTATAGCTCAAACACTTCTGACAATTATCTATTATTACATGTAAATGATAATTCTTGGGTTATTTAATGATACTTCAACTGCAGAAATTGAATAACACCAAATAATATAGAAAGATGATCATATATACTGAATCAGGGCAGAAACTGGAAGGAAATGGTCAGGCCAAGGCCAAGGTACTATTCTAGCATTCGCATAGAAAGCCTGAAAAGAACCACAAAATATCAGTCAGAATACCAGTAACCTGGCAAAAATTCAAACTGTCTAATACTATTATCACATCAGCCTGCTCATTTTCATGTGTAAAGTTCAGAAATGAAACTGAAGAATGGGTTACATTCGTTGTCTGATTGTAATAATTAACATGATTTTAAAATGACTTCCATGAAATATCTGTGTAGCATATGCTATAGGAATAAAGGCAAGTAGATTTCATTAAGTGGTTACTAATATGTCTCATATCAAGAACCCTAGCCATGACTTCCTGAAATTGTCATAAAATTGTGAAATTTTATGTCATGGGGAATGTGATAAGGATGAAATTAACAGAGGGACAATATGAGATGTTTGGTACCTGCAACAAGGTAGAGGCTCGCTTCTGCCAGAAACTCTTGCAACCCAATGCTGTGATCATCGCTGATGCTGTGGCTGACACATATGCCACACCAAGTTGTGTCGTAGTGGTAGGAGATTTGGCATTACGATTCGTGTAGTTGACAAGTGCATTGAATGACTGATTTACCCATTGCCAGAAAACAACTGCTGGTGCAGTTCTGGAAGTAAAATATTTCAAATAAAATAGCTGGTACTAATTTAATAGTGCTTCAAAATACAGTAAAACTTACTTACAAGGAATCCTAAGGGACACAAACATTTTACTTCAGTTTAAGTTTTCTCTTTAATGCAGGAACTTAATCTTCAATAACTTCATGGAGCTGAGCCCTTCTTGAGAAGCCGCCAAATGGGCAGCTACTTAGGAACTTCCCAGCAATTTATGGAACTTAAAGGTTCATTACTATGTTCACAAGAGCCCTCCACTGGTCTTTATCCTGAGCCAGATTGATCCAATCCATACCACCATCTCTCTAAGATCCATTTTAATATCATTCACCCACCTACTGGCCTCCCTTCTGGCTTTCCCACCAATATCCTATATGAATTCCTCTTTGCCCCCATTCTACTTCATGCCCTGCCAAACTCATCCACCTTGACTTTAAAAGTCCAGTTATACCTGGTGAAGAGTAAAAGTTATGAAGCTCCTCATTATGCACTTTCCTCCAACCTCCCATCACTTCATCTCTCTTTGGTCCAAATATTCTCCTCAGCACCCTGTTCTCAAACACCCTCATTCTATATTCCTCCCTTAATGCCAGGGACCAAGTTTCACATCCATACAGAACTACAGGCAAAATTATAGTTTTGTATATTCTAATTTTTATGTCTTTAGACTGAAGATAAAAAGAAATGTTCTGGACTTAATTGTAGCAAGCTTTATTCAAATTCAGTCTCTACTTAACTCTCTCTTGAATCAGGTTTTTATTTGTTACTGTCATTCCCAAATATTTGAACCATGCCACATTTTCAAAACATCTGTTACCTATTTTAAGTCATAATTTTGCCCTGCATTCTGGTGATGAGACAGCAACATATACTTAGTTTTCTCAGTGTTTACTTCTAGACCAACCTCCTTACTTGCGTCAATTAAAGTTGTGTGTTTTCCTTTATGGTATCTAATTATCAATCAGCAGATTCATATCATCATCACAGACCAGCAGCTGGTATATCTTACTAGCATCAATTGCAGTTTCTGTGTTTTCCTTTATGGTATCTATATTATCAATCAGCAGATTCATATCATCATCACAGACCAGCAGCTGGTATATCCTACTTAATTTCAGTCTCACTTGGCTTTCCTGGACCTTCCTAATTGCATATTCTCAAGTAAAGCAGAAAAAGAGGTGGTGATAAAGCATTTCCTTATTTTAGACCATTTTGGATAGGAAAATTATCAGACAAATGTATACCTATACAGACTTTACTATACATGAACATGGAATGTTCATTCCATCAAATTCTCCACAAATAAGAATGTAAAAAATTGTAACTATTGTAATTTTAATCTACTTATATATCAAATTGTTAATATTCAGAATTAACTTGACTTGTCATATATCATGTACAATGATCTACAGTGACGAAATAAATCAATCAATCAATCAATCATCTCATTTAAACACATCTTAATTGGCCTAACTAGATCCATGAGTACCCTAAACTCTATGAAATTATTGTACAATACTTCCCTACTAAATGAATCACAGGCTTTCTTGAAATCTATTAATAGATGATGTACTGTCTCATTGTACTCTCATTTTTTCTATAGTACACAACTAATGAAAAAGGTCTGATCAGCAGTTGATATGTTATGCTGAAACCCACACTGATGATCCCGAACAATTTCATGTATGTACAGACTTAACCTTGAGTAAAAGATATAGATAAAATTTTGAATTAATACTGTCAATTTTATTGCCTTTCTTGTAAACTGGTACAATAATAGGCTCCTTCCACTTATCAGGCAATTCTTCCTTATTCTACATAGAATTAATTAGCTTATGGATCTTAGACCATAATGCTTCACCTCCTGCTTGAACCAGTTCTGCTGGAATTTGATCACTACCTGGCGATTTACACCTTTCCAACTTTGCAATAGCAATTTCACCCTAAGAGGACTAGGATCAGGTACTAACGGTTCAGATGTATGTATTTTTGCCCAACATCACCAACTTGATGTACATTCAATAACTGACAGAAGTAGTTCCTCCACCTATTCACCTATTCAAAATGTGGGAATCTGCAAGCAGATCATCATTCTCATCCTTCACTAAGTTACTGCTAGGTTGGTAACCCTCTTAAAGTCATTTACTCCTCTATACAGGTCTCTAATGTTCTTGTTCTTACTGTTCATTGCAAGCTCATCAATTTAATTTATCCCTTCTGGCTTATTTAATAACAGTGTCAGTAACTCAGTATATACAGCACAGAATGAGTGAGGACAGTGACTAATGAATTGCAAAAGGATGTAGAAGGAAGTGGTCATGACATATTTTAAGGTACAGTCTTAGTATTTTCCTGGAGGGACTGAAGGGACAAACACAACCTAAGTCAGGATAGCATGTGTTTCAGCTGGGGTACAATTCCTGAATACAGACACAAGCGTTACCGCTTGAGGCAACTTTCTTGGTATAATGGCAATAAATAGGTCACTGTATAACGAAGGTTGCCCACCACTGCAAAGCACCTTTGTATTATGATATGTTGGGTTTTCGGACTTTATCCATCGTCCTGGTTTTTAAGATAACTAATAAAAACACGACATTTCGGAAACTGGATCTGTTTCCGTCCTCAGGTGAAGGAAAACACCTATTCTGTTGGGTCCGTTAGAAAGAGCTAGCTTCAATCACTGTGTTTTTATCGTGTTTTTATTAGTTATCTTAAAAACCAGGACGATGGATAAAGTCCGAAAACCCAACATATCATAATACAAAGGTGCTTTGCAGTGGTGGGCAACCTTCGTTATACAGTGACCTATTTATTGCCATTATACCAAGAAAGTTGCCTCAAGCGGTAACGCTTGTGTCTGTATTCAGGAATTGTACCCCAGCTGAAACACATGNTGACATCCTCCATCTTCAAGCTTGGGGCCTCAACTCTTACCTGGCAACTGGCTGGCTACTTGTTGAGTACAGAAGTTAAGTATTTTTAAGTTATAGGAACAACATACCGGTAGAACTGCAGCATGGCACCAGTGATTGCCATGCCCCCAGGCACTTGGAATGACATTCGCCCAAAGACATTCTGCTTGTCTCCAGTGTCTGGATGAAAAGCAGATTCATACAGCTTCTTGGCATAAACAATTTGCTCCCTCGTCGTCCCTGGTGGCTCTTTACCTAACCTAAAATATAGAAAGTACAATTTTTCCTTCATGGCAAGATTTTAGAAGTGTCAAATACTGTTGTACAGACCTAACTCAAATGATACATGGCTCATGACTTGACATGTTAATGCCATAAGCATACCAGAAAAATTCTAAGAAGTTTAAAAACACAATGTAAGTTGGAGATTTCATTTCTTTGAAAACATTATGTAATCAAATTCAAAGGCACAATTATGTGGTTTTCATTCTTGTGTCATATTAAGGAGTTCTCAGATTAGAATGTTTTAGGTCTACTGACATTAATAAAATTTATACTCAGCTCAGTGTTCCAGTTCTAAGGATTATTCATTCAGCCTTAAAGCTATATGTCAGTATGTGACATCTGAGGTCCTCACAGAGGTCATTATGAAAATTACCGTTGCATAGGATGTGATGCCATATATTCTGGTAGGTGTTTACTGACATTTTGGAGGAACATGCCACCTCCACCTTCAGTCCACTTTGAGGTGTAGGCAGCACTTTCCTTTGAAATATTGCAAAACATCTACCAAACTACACAGGCTCATACCTCAGGAGACAGTAATCTACATATCAGTAAACTAAAAGAAAAACTATCATACATATACAAAATTTCAAGCTGAATGAGGGGGTGACCCTTAACATCCTCTCACTTTCTAAGTCTCCCTTCAGGTAAGCGGCCTCTGTAGTCTAGAGGTAACGTTCCCACCTCATGATTCGTGGTACGCGGGTTCAAATACCCGGTGGAGGTCGTCGAATTTTTAAGGGCGGAAAAATTCAGGGAACAAGTCCTCCGGGAGGGACTTTAAGCCGTGGGTCCCATGTCGTAGCTTTACGGCATGTAAAAGAACCTCGTCACTGAGCCAAATTACGGACGTTTCCCGCTCAACAGCAGTCTCTAATACCTCTGGTAGNAAACTCGCTTGCTCGGCAGGACTGATGGTAGGCACCATTTATCGGTAGGGTAAAGAGACTGGTAGAATATCATAGAGGGAAGCACAATAGATCAAACTGGTCGCGGTGCATGGGGAAACCCACCCTCTCTAAATAACTAACTAACTAACTCCCTTCAGGTAAGTTGCTTAAAGCAAGGAAACATGGCAACATGCCAAGTGCTGCAACCAATGAACCCTATTAAAATGTTTGCCATTATTTTGAATCCTATTAGCAGTTTATTATATCACTAATCCATGCACACTCATCAGTTCTTTCTCCACAATGTTAAAATTCTACATTTAACCCTATGTATTTCAGCTTCGACTTAGTCACCCAAAGCATAAGATGCAAAAATTAAGGAACATAATATGGACTGGTAAATAAATGGAATATCTGTGATTATACTGCATTTATCAAAGCAAAAATTGATACCCTCATTTAAACCAAGTTTTATTAACAGCTACTAGAACTAATAAATTATAATCTGCAATCACTATCTTAATTCACCAAACTCAGCTAGTCACTGTATAGCACAGTCGGTATAGTCACTGGCTACGGGCTGGACAACTGGGCAGGGTTCGAATCCCGGTAGGGTCAAGAATTTTCACTTCTCCATGTCCAGACTGGCTCTGGGGTCCACCCAACCTCCTATCCAATGCATACTGGGGGCTCTTTCCCTGGAGGTAAAGCGGCCGGGACGTAAAGCTTACCATTTACCTCCAATTAGTGCCGAGGTCAAGAAAATATGGGTCTATACATCTACTTTCGTAGTGCTTAATTAGTTAAGCACAGGGACAACTTTACCTCTTACCAGCTAGTCACTGTATTGTAATGACACGTCATAATTAAAATATATACCCATATGTCCATATACAATATATGACACATTTCATTTCTGGCTCTTCACAAGGTCTGTTGTTTACTTTTGCATAATACATTTTGTTTTCATAGAACACTGTTAGGGCAGGTGAAATATCATTATAACAGGGCAGTCTATGGGGTAAATGTGTATTTCATGCAGCCTACTCTCATGCTACCTGCTGCCTCAAAGCAATAAGACCGTAAAACCATACTGTGGACATATCCAGGTTGCAGGACAGTATATTAGGCCTGCAACCTCTGGGAGCATATAACATCTTAAAACTTCACCTGTACTGCTCAACGAGCTGTTTTGCAGCATCAAGGGTTTCTTCCGAAACAATACATGTACGAGGATCTGTCACCCAAAAGAAATTCATAAGTCTTCCTGAAAATGTACTCTGATCCCACAGGGGTTTGTCAATGTCGAAACGAGGAAATGCTGCCATATTTTGTCGGCTAACTGGCAAATGACAGTGGTATTATTCCAACGGAATAACTAACAATAATCAGTGAATACAAGTAACCACTTCATGCGACTGACTTTACACAAATAAATTATTACCGCTACACACTACACCGGTTTGCATTTCATTTCCAGTTCGATTTAAGCGAGCTTGAACTTTTGAACGTTCACTGTCTACTGACAATTGTGTGGGGATATGCTCTGTATACGTACTTTGGTCATACAGAGATCGACAGTACAACAAAAAAAACTCTAATTCTATTGCATATCCATGTTCAATGTTCAAAAGTACAGACTACAACCAGCCCCACCTTCACTGCCAAAACCGCTAGCAAACTAGCATATTACTATACCGCACTGCACACACCCCTTACACACGCTAACCTAACCGAAGCTTGAGCTACCACCACTAGGGACAGCTCTACTTTTGTGTTGTTCTATTGGTTGCAATGATATCAGCTGATGAACAGCTGGAGTTACAGTATGACCAATAGAAGAGACTAGAAATAACATCAGTCCGTAAGTATGTGGTGCAGTGGAAGGATTACCCTGATTTAGGGAAGAAATTAGCTTTCCACATACTTCACAGAAATTTTATGTTCTATCCGGTATTTGATAGAAGATTTCCATTAGTAGACATACATTATAAATGGAAATTAAAAACTTATACTTTTGACTATTTCTCATAATTAACCACTTCCGTCCCTGAAGTAGCTGTGGAATAATAAAATGTATATTGGAAATATGAGGGAAAACTGTAGAACAAACATTCATTAAATTATGCGTGAAATTGTTTCCTGCACCATAACAACATTTCAGAAATAATTGAGATTTTGTTTCGTAACCATTAATGTATATACAAATATGCGATACTTATTGAAGTCAAAAAATAAACAACCTTAGTTTTCACTTGTGCGCATGCTCAGTATCGCGCAGTATAATGGTGTTCGATGGTGGACCTACTCATGGAAAGCCTCGCCAGCTTGAAACGGAACGCGACAGCTGGGGCAATAATTCTCCCAGCCAATATGGCGGACGTGGAAAGTCATTCAATGATAAAAATAGTAAAAAATTCGCAAATATTAGTAAATGTTGAAGAAGCCCTTCAGGATATTTTAGTAGTGTCCTACGCGTTTGAAAATAAGTTGTACCAAGGTGTTCTGCTGGATTCAACGAAGAAGTGAGTAGAAATTAATTTCTAACTCCACCCTTGTCTGTGATGCCAACGCTGCATCTTCCAGAATGAAGGGAAGTAGCTGTTGCCTCATTGTATGCACAGATGGTTGGATATACATAATAATAACCGACTGAAAGTGAATCTTTATAATTTTCTGCGCCGATTGATGCATAAATCGGTGGGTTTAGCCTTATGGTAACAAAATGAGTGATGTTGCTTTTAATCCTGTTACATTTCTGCAGTCTGCATTAGCTTGGAAGCAGCCATGTTAGGACTGTGAGTAGCCTGGTATTTCTTTGTTTAAAGTGATGTATACTAGGCTTATTTATGTAACCGTTCATTTTATTTATTTAAGTATAATACACCATATTCTTATTACTTTGCAATCATATTTTTGATCATTCGAAAGCTTCAGTTACAATAACGATACAAAACTACAGGGTTCAGTTTGTCTTGCATATATGAAAGAGAATAATTATTTCACACGTTAATTTAGTGTAAACTATACTGAAACTAGTCGCTGTAGCGATATGATGTGATTATATGCAGGAAATATAACGATTTTCGTTAGAAGAATACACCGTACTAGTCGGGCCAAGTCATTCATGAACCCCCGGCGCTGACCCAGTTGTTACCGCAGTTCGCAAGCACGGTTGGCCCGCTGGTACGGATAACGGAAGAATTGCGTGATTTTATATGCGACGCGTGTTTTATTACATGACGGAATATGACAGAAAGCAAATGGTGTATTATTAGGTACTGAATCCGTAATTTGCTATAGCTTGAATATATAAATGTCATTTGTGTACCTAACTTTACTGCAGATTGAAGTGTACCATATATGTCGCAGTTTTGTCAAATAGAATGTTTGTGAAGTCGTAATATTCATGGGGAAACGTAATTGGCTTTAATGTAATGGTATTCCCTTCACGGTTTTTGAAAGCGGATGTCAGTATTCCTGCGCAGAGCATAAAGTTCGCGTTGTTGCATTTTGACACTGTCTTACAAATACGGAACGCAATGGATATACTTATTATAATTTTAGAAAATATGAGGGCTCAGGATTCAGTAGGTATCTCATATTTGGGAGATGACGTTTATGTTATTTGTCTAAAGTTGACGATTTTATTCTCTGGTTAGACAAATTGCGGTGTCAAATATTAAAATAAATACTAAAAAATTCAGTTTCATATATACGCTTTCGTTTAATAAAAATCCTGTCTTCAACTAAAAATATTTATCACATAATTTTATCGGAATTAGTAGAAATGCTGTTTTTGTGATATATGGCTGCATTAAACAGTTTCATGTAACAAACTTCCGTGGTTATAATTAGTTCTTTTGAGGAAAAAAAGTTCTGCAAAAACAACAGAATGTGAAATAAATTAATGCAGTCTTTAACTTGAATGCAGCTTAGTACATACAATAACTTATGAACAAGGGGCTTGAAGACTAAATTCCATATTAGTGGATTTGAAGCTGGCTTGGCTGTGCTGGTTATTTTTTCCTGTGTACGCACTGACCAGATGAAGACTATAACCTAGATTGAACCAAACATAACCTATTTCAAGCAGTTCCTAATGCCACTTTCAGTATAAGTATGTCAGACTGTAACTTGAGGCTTCTGTATGCTTGGATGTAAATTGAGATAGGTAAATTTTGTTGTTTTGTGACTGTACTTTGATCACTTGGCGTAATTATACACAAGCAAATGACCTGGAATTCGGGTTTTGTGGTTATTTGCACCACCTAGACACGATTATCTTTTTAGTGGGTTACTTTACGACGCTTAGTATCGCAGACTATATAGTGTAAAATTCGATGATAGATCACTGATAAATTAAAAATTATTTGGAAGGAAGCAGTCTTGGCCTAGTTAATATATATTCCCGACATTTGCCTGGGAGCCGGTCTAAGTAAAACAACCAAAAACCGAAATCAGAATTGTTGGTGTCTCGGTCGAGATTCGAACCGCACACCTTCCGCATATAAGACGAGAGCGTTACCAATAGACAAATCGGTTCAGTGACATGAGGTTCACTTTGTTAAGACAGACATGTGCGTTACATGGTAACAGTAATTTAAGGCCGTTACAAAATCCATAATAAGAGTCAGTATGTGTATGTACGTGTGTGCTTGTGCTCAAAGGAAACGCCCGTCTCTGGAAAAGCTATCACTTCATATGAGGACCAACATGCGGGTCTGCGCGCATCTTGGGAGTAATTTGCTAAACATGTATCGGAGCGATAAATGTGCTGAATAGAAATTAAACAGAAATATGAAATACGTATTCAATGCCGAGCACACTTCTGCCGTAAGTCTTCGGTTTTCAAACTAATTAAACAAAAGGGATTTTATGTTATGTAACTCGAATACCGTTAAATGATTTTGATGAAATTTTCTGTTTGGATATACGTATAAAAATTGGCCGGACAATGCGAAATTTTTCAAAGCTTGCCCCAGTAAAAGAAGTATACAAATTGCACAAAAGCGTGAGTACAGGTCGTAGGCCATATAGTTGGGTAACTAAACGTCTAGTTTCATACCTTTCTTTGTAAACGGTATAAATTTAATTCTCACGTCTTCTTCCCAAGACGAAGGAGAACACTTTATGTCTGTCCCCTTGCCCATCCTACGTTTAACGCAATTTGTAAGACAGCATGAAAAGTTAGCATGCGCTGATTGAAATCCGTATGCAATAGCAGAGGGAACACCTCAGCATTTTTACATGGTGGGTGTGTAAATTTGTTAACATGTTAGGTATGGTGCATGTTGAACAAGGTGGATGAAAAACGTTTATTTACACGAATTAAAATCACAGCACTGATTTTAAAAATAGCTCGAAATTATAACCTTTGTTTCTGTAGTAACCTGGTGGACTATTACAGGAAAATCATTTGCAGGCTGAGCCGAAGCACTGCTTTTCCGCTATGCGCGATTGCTCTATCGTTTTCCGCCTGCCCCGATGAGTCAGAAACGTTGATAAGAGGACGTGGGTATTCTTTTACGCCAGGGGTTGTCAAACTTCTTGATACTGCTGTCACCAAAAACAGTATATAAATTAACATACCCTTTCCCCCAATCATTGTCGGTCGGCAAAAAATGCAGTTCTGTACATTGTTCGGAGGCGCTTATGAGGCGGTACAGTGACAAAAACTCCCGTTGTTTTAAAAAAATTCTACAACTTCAGTAATCATAAACCGTTCCTCAACCCTCATGAAAAATATTGCGAAATGTTTCGCCTCCTGCAGTTACATTCTACGAAAGTACGTATATTATATACTCCATCTATGTACTATAGGAACGAGGTACGTCATCAGTCAGGGACGTAAACTGTTCCGTCATCATTAGAAAGTTACTAGAGCATATAGGCCGCGCCATAGCGCAAGCGGTTAGTCGCTGGCTTCCCACCGCGGCGGCCTGGGTTCGATCCCGGGTCTGGTCAAGTGGGATTTGTGGTGGACAAAGTGGCGCTGGGGCAGGTTTTCTCCGAGTACTTCGGTTTTCCCTGCCAATCTTCATTCCACCAATTGCTCCACAATCGCCCTCACCTATCATCTTGGGGCTGGTACAATAGGCCAGAAGTGGCCGCAGTACAAGGGACTTAGTCCCACCCCACTAGCAATAAAAAAAGTATCTCAGCATACTTCCGATATTCATAAGCTGGTGGCAAATTCGTACATACAGGGAAGACTTTTGCTTTCTTGGTCGATTCCACGGTTCTGCGCTTCGCGGCGACCTGTGCACCGCCGGCTGCGAGGTGCATACGAATTTTGTCGATGAAGCAGCGTGCCTGACGGCCTATAACGTTCGGAATTCACAAATCACAGGAGGTGTTGAGAATGCTGTCCCTCTGCACATATGTATCTTTCGCAATTAATTGCTTCGTTAAAAAAAACAGGTATAACAATCCTTCTTGCACTTACAACGTATCAGACACCAACTTTTACTGGATGGAGCAGGCTTTCGTGGTTTAGGTGTTCATTCTCTGAACCCCAGTAGCAGTTATTTTGCGCATTTATGTATCCCTGCAAGTGAAATCACGCCTCACCAGAAAAGAATTTCAATTGTGGATCGGTGTCACTTTCGACGGCAGACTGTGGAATCCAACTGCAAAAATGAACCCCGGTAGCTCGGTCGCGCGGCTGCAACGTGTGGAATACTGTTGTTTTATAGGCTCTAAACGTCAGCAATTGTGATGCCGTTCTTGCTCAAGACTTTGACACTTCATTCT